CCCCCCCCCACTTCCCGAAGGAATGGCAATTAATAATGGATGATCCGCTACTGAAACTGAAGAGAACGTGGAGACGCAGGCGAAGAAAGTCGGTCGACAGGTTGGTTTTTTTTCCACCCCACAAAGCACGTTGCACTTCAAAAAGCCTGAAGATGCACGTGCAAGGCTCTGTGATCACAGAGGGGACGTGTTAAAAATAAAAGCAGCACGAAGGCTTGGGGAGGTGGTTTTATTGCCAGTAATTGCTCTCGGGATTCTGATGCGGTTTTTCATGTCTGGGATTTCCATCTGTGCCTCCTCTCTACTTATGCCTGATCTTTTCATCTGTTTCCAGCTGAACATCACAGGCGAGGAATCCTCCCTCTCAGTTCCGTTCCCTTCATGTCTCTTTTGCACTGAATCACAGCCTTCTGACGGCGCTGACATGGCTCACCTGAGAGTGGACGGTGCTGTGGTCGGCATGAGATTCTCCACAACCCACGTAGGCACAACCGTTCTACAGGGGGCAAACAATCAGGACGTTAAGATACAGAGTTTTATGAGGTAGTAGTTCACGTTTTTCATAAAGGTGCTGTCTTACCTCCAAACACGCCCACAGATTCGGACCCCTGACTTTACAGTCTTGGCACTGGCCCTGAAAAGACGAGAAGAAACAAAAAATAAAGAACTAGAAACAACGAATTCTCTATCGAGCGCTGAATGACTTTGCAGAAAAAAATTATCCTAGTTGTTAAGGCTAAAAGAAGCAGAATACTAGCTAAAAAAGCTAAAAAGCTAAAAGCAACAAAAGGATAGCTGGTAAAAGCAAAATGCTGGCTAAATTTAAAAGTAGCAAAACATTACCTAAATGTAGCAACAAACTAGCTAAAAACTAAAAGTAGCAAAAGGTTAGCTGCAAGTAATAAGAAGACCAACTGTTAAAATAAAAAATCTTTAGCTAAAAGCAAAAAGTAGCAAAGGGCTAGCTAAAAGCAGCAGAACACTAGCAAATAGCTGAAAATATAAAAGCTAGTTAAACGTATCATAAATCTAGCTACAGGTTTAAAGTAGCAAAATGCTGGCTAACGGCTAAAAGTAGAAAAGAATATTTAGAAGCTGAATGTAGCAAAATGCTATATAAAAGCTGAAAGTTACAGTAAGTTAGTTAAAGCTTAAAGTAGCAAAATACTGGCTAACAGCTAAAAGTAGAAAGGATATCTAAAAGGTGAAAGTGGCAAAATGCTAGCTAAAAGCTGCAAAAAGTTAGCTATAGCTTAAAGTAGCAAAATGGTAGCTAAAAGCAGCAAAACATTAGCTGAAAGTAATAAAAAAAGGTTAGCTAAATTAAACATAGTGAAAGGCCAGCTAAAAGCTAAAAGGCGCAGAACGGTACCTACAAGTTAAGTATAGAAAAACTCTGGCTAAAAGCTAAAAGCTAGCAAAAGAATACAAAAATGGAGCAAGTATGCTGACGTTTTTGAAAGAACTGAAGAGATGTTTATCAATAAAGTGAAATATTGATAAAAATATAAAAGTTACAAAATTATAAAGTCACAGCACCCATCTTCAGAACCATCATGATATAAAATAGCTAAAATAGCACAAAGACTTTAGACGTAGTCGGATCGTAAACGACATAGGAAAAAAAATGTTAAAACATGAGAATAATGGTATTCACACAATTAAGAGTTAGTAAAGATACATAAATAAATGAGTTAAACTTCAGTAAAAAAGTTTCTTACATGGGATTTCTGAATAAGTTCCTCCTTGGTGATCTCCCCCACGCAGTCCAGGTGGGGGCAGTCACCGCTGGGCGCAGGCGACATCACTCAGTGACCCGTCTAAAGACACAGAGAGACAAAGAAAACTTAACGCAACATTTGCAGTTTGCAATCGAATGACCTCCTGAGTTTAAACTCAGTTTTTGTTTGAAATGAATATTAATAATCAAACATCTGACACCAGAGAGAAGAGGAAGAAACAAAAACCAGCAGAGGACAAGAAGAACAGTCTGGTTCCTGTCACCTGAGTCGTCACCACACACGATACGTTGTTCTGTTTGCAAAAGCAATAAATCAGCAGACAGGGTAACTCAGAAACAGTGTCTGCATTTTGTTACATCTAAATGTGGGGATTTTACCAACATAACCTGTAATCAGACACCTGGACTAACTTTTTATTCTGCTTTTGAGACATTCAAATCATACAAGCTGTGGTGGAGACAGAAACTGTGGAGCTGTGACATGTAAATACTTTACTTCCTGATCACGGTCAGCAGCTGTTCATATGAAAAAGAATGATGCCCCGGCAGTAAACACAAGTTGGAGCAACAATCCATGCTCTCACACAACTCCCATTAGTGGAGGTTAACTGGAAACACTGAATCCAGCAGAGTGGTTAAACAACATGAGAATAACAAAGTTTTATCCTCGACAACCTCGAAACATGAAGCAGAACTAATGAAAACCACTGACAGAGCTGTGCAAATTATTATTATCCTGCTAGTGTGCATGTCGCCCGCTGCCTTTCCTTTCATAATGAGAAGAAATAAAGCTATAACTATTTTAGCCAAACCTTAAGTTCTATATAACATTTTGCACAATCATGCAATAATGCATTCATACAATATGTTGGGGCTTACTTTCAGCTTCACATGAAATTTTAGCAAATTATCTGTAAAATTTAACTACATAACAGCCAACAAACATGACAAAAACATTCTTATCTTTACCGGGAAGTGATAAAACCGTCCAAGAGATATACAGATTTGTGTACCAGAACTTTGATTTTCCTCGCTKCTTCTTCCATTAACTCCTCATATTAACATTTCTAAATGTTAAAATGTTAAAAAGCACAAGGTGGAGCTGGTTCAAAGCCTCCTCACTTCAATATTAATACAAAATATAAGAATAAAATATATATAAATCAAAAAGACCAAACCAGTATTTATTAATATTAATTTGACTAAAAATTGTGCTGCAATAACTTCTGTAGTTTAATTGCAGTTTTATACGTGACATTTACCAGATTCAGACTATTTTGATTTTATATTTATTGTTTTTCTTTATTATTGTGGGTGTGGCTTTCTGAGAAACTGCAAATAAAACCTGATGTTTACAGCCAAACATTTGGGCTTAGTAACATTAATAGTATAAATATTTAAAGCACAAAGATGATCAAAATAAAAACCTTAATCCGCCAGTTCAAAAAATAACAACAAAGGACCAGCTAACTCTATTCGTTGTGCAAAAATGTCCAAAACTCGTTACGTGGAATGGCAAATAGCTGCTAAATGCCTGGTTTTTAACCGGTTTCAACTTTAAAAACAGATATGTTCGCCATGAGTTTCAAAGAGGAAGCGAGTTACTGCTGGTTTGGGTGGTTTAACACAGTCATTGCAGAAGCGCGAGGCTTCGGCCTGCAGGACTCGGAGTGAGCTGTCAAAATCCGGAGACAAGCGACACAGGCGATCCGTCGCTGCTAGCATTAGCATGCTAGCCTGTTAGCGCTAAGCACTCAATGAATTAATTGTTGTCGTGAGTTAGCCCCGACACCAACTACTAAAAATACATAACAGGATTGTATTCAGCGAGGCCACAAACTGGAATATTTCGGCGCGACAGTTCCGTACTGATAACCATCTTGCTACGAATACGCTAACAGATAGCTAGCTAAGGTTACTGATGATCAGTGACAACGCAGGAGTCAGCAGCAGCAGCATCCCCACGCCAAAAAAATTAATAAAATTAGACTTACTGGCTCGTTAACAAAGACGCGCTGCTTCTCACGAAGATCCGAGTGTTTCTATCGTCTCACACATACGCATTTAGGTACATATTTCCAGAAGACAAGCCTTCCTTCACAGGAACGAAAGCGCTCCGTCTCTCAGCGTGGTTGCTAACGTTACGACGTAGCTCCGCCCCTTTTCCGGTTTAACCCTTCAAAAAAAATTCACGGACTTCAGGTGTCGTCGTGCCATAATATTTCGGGGATACGTACTTTGGCGCGACACCTGACAGCCAGCCGGAACAGCTGATCAACCGTGTGAGGTATGAGTACTCAGAAATAACTGAATGTGATGTAAATGTATTTATTTAAATAAAGAAAACCACCTCCTCAACTTGACACCAACCCATTCAAGAGCTGATGTGGGATTTCAAAATAAAAGCACTTTAAAAGTTCAAATGTAGTTTCGTTGATATTTTAATATGTAATATTACAAAAATAAGCCTGATTCTGTGCACTGATTCCACATCAGGTTGAGAGACCACTGTATGTATGTGGATTAATTATGTTATATTGGAGTGGTGGTTGGATCTCATTTACATGTGTATATTTTTTGTTTGTTTTGTTTTCATCACAAACTGATAAGACTCTYGAAACCAAATGAAGTTGTGAATGAGGTAGGATTAAATAAGTTTTACTTTGCCAATGCAATGCACACTATTGTGATTCATTTCCCATCCAAGTCATCTCCACTTTGGCATGCTTCTCCTCTTACATACTTTTTCCTAGAGCTGCCATTGTAATTTATATCTGTAAAGCYCCTGTGCCAAATGATGGCTATGCCTTTTGGTGCCTGTACAACTTGTAGTTTTTGAAATCTTAATGTTTAATATTTTATAATGGGAGTAAATGGAGCCTTATATTGGTCTAATACTGCCCCCTGCTGTATATACTCAGTACTGAACCATATATTAATAATATTTAATCTGAATAGTTCAGTGGTTACAATACTAATATCATTGTATTTTGATGTTTTACTATAATATTGTCCTAATATTGCTCTATTGCTGTAATATATTTCAGTTTAGTGTCAACAATTGCATTGGCAATGTGGCCACTTTCTGCACACATACAAACCCAACACCTGGCATTGCCCTCTGCCACAGCTCCAGTAGTCTTATGGTTAGTGCCATGAACTTTCATGTGGAAGATCACAGGTTGAAACCCAGCTAAAACAACTTTAACAAAAAATCTCTTCAAACTTCATATTGTTACACAATTACCTGTCAAGTCAGCAGGTGTTTGTAATTAAGGTAGTTGTGTAATAATTAACTTAATTACAAATACCTGCTGACTTGACAGGCACAAGCTGGAATAGAAAACATATTTGAACTTGGTCACAGTTCATTCTGCAAGTCCACTGCTGCAGGCAAAGCCATGCTGCAATGACATGCTACATGGCAATGCACAGTTGTTTTTACATCGTAAAAACTCATGTCTAGTTAGACTAAGTGGTTTCATTTTTTTGTAGAAATATGAAAGGGTATAAGGTTTCCCCTGACATCATAACCCCCCACTCTATCCATAAAAAGTTTCTGTATATTATCTGGTAGTTCTTTGTTCCTAGCTTTATACATCACTTGAGCTGTTTTAAATTCAACCAGSTCTAAGAGTTTTGGTAAATAACTCAGTGGTGTGATCCTGGAAGCCTACTTTATGAACCATTCTGACGGCTCTTTTCTGGAGAGTGCACAACGGYMTGAGTGAGGATTTGTAGGGGTTTCCCCAGACTTCCAMACAATAATTCAAACAAGGCAAAATAAGTGAACAATATACCAGTGGTTCCCAAACTTTTTGTCTTCTGGCCCACAAAATATTCATGGCAAAAACTTGTGACCCCAAATATTACTGGTCTGAGTACACGATCTTTGTTAATAACCCTAAAAACACAGGCTTTTTGACAATCTAAACAGCTTGTACACAAATATAAATACTTATTTATACTTATTTTGCGTTTTTGTAATAATTAAAGGGAAAATATTACATCATCAGTTATTTTATTATCCTTTAAATTGATTTCTGGAGATTATCCAAGGT